TTGATACCTTAATTGCTATTGGGCTTTTTGGGCTGATTTATTTTGTTTTAAGTAAAAATTACACAAATCCCTACTTTTCAAAATCAATATTCAAAAATCAGGTAGAAAGTTTCATTTTTCAAAAATTAGGTATTCATTTAATTAATATAAATTAATATTTTAATATTAATAACCATATAAATTAATTTATATACACACCCCTACCCTATCTACCCCCATCCAAACCTTAAAATTAATTTTTTCTCCTATCTCATCTCATCTCCTCTCCCGTCTCTTTACTCAAACCGTCGCCGACGCTTCTTCTTCTTCTTCTCTCTCTCTTCACTCTCCCTTTCGTCTCTTTCTCTGTCCTTTTCCTCGCACAGTGGAGCTCGTCGTCAAGAGCAGCGAGCGGCACTCCCTACGATCGCTGACCGACACTGTAATCCGTCGATGATACCGTTCGCAGCAGCATCGCATTAGCGGATCAATTCTTTTTCTTCTTCTTTTCTTCTTTTCTTTTGATTCGGTGTTAGGTGCGCGATGGTGTTGTGTGAGATTAGAACCACCACCCTTATAGCGGCGTTGTGCCACCAGGGTATTGAGATGATTTTGGGCGTGAAGATGGTGGCCACGCCAGATTTTGGTGATTTTTGTTTGTAGTTGGTGGTGGTTTTCATGGTGTGGTAATGTTTGGGTGGTTTTAGTAGCGGTGGTGGATCGAGCTGCTGATGGTGGATCTAGAGTTGGTGGAGGTGAAGTTTGTGTGTGGTGTTGGTGCAGGCGTTTGTGTGGGGGTGGCGAGGCGAAGTGTGTGATAGTCATGGCATCGTTTCCGGTAGCGATTATGGCGCGTTTCTGTTGTTGGCGACTGTGGTGCATTTCTGCGGTGGTGGTGGTTGTGATGTGTTGGCGGTGGTGGCGATGGCGGTGGTGGTAGTGTTGTGTTGTTGGTGGGGGTGATGGTGGGATAACGTTTGTGACCAATGATTTGGTTAATTTGTAACCAAGCATTGATGGTAAATTGGGATCGGGGGTGGGGTGTTTGGTGTATGTGACTAACTATTTGGTTTATTGTGACTAACCATTAAATGTGACCTTGAAATTCGATAATTTGTGACCAACAAATTTGAAAATATGTGATCGATACATAAATTGTGACCTATAATTTTTTTTGGTTTGTGACCAATGAAATAAATTGAAATGTATAAAAATTTTGATTTGTGACCTCGAAATAATTTGTGACCAATTAATTTTATAACATATGACCAATAAATAAGTTGTGACCTATAATTATGTACTTGTGACCATTA